TAAATATGATCATTTTTTTAGTGAGCGACTGCCGCTATAAAAGAGCATTACTGCGAAAAGTAGACCTACGGGAGATCAGTGACAATGCTGTCGATCGAACTCTCAGCAAATGGTAGACTGACCGCATTACAAGTGATGAACGCCACTTCCGAGCCACTTTGTAGCAAATCAGTGCTGCAGTATTGCTAAAAAACCTTTCATTATATGCAGTGTTCTGTTCATGAGTATTAACCCATTTGGTTCCCTTTAAATCCAAGTCTGTCCACGCTCAGGGACAAGTTAAACGTGAGTGCTGTAAGGTTACGGCATAAGCCGTTAAGCTGAGAGGGTAAAAGCGGCCCTGGTGGCGTAACGGATAGCGCACTCGCCCGGAAAGCGTGAGGTGCGGGTTCGACTCCCGCCTGGGGCACTTTTGCCCACAACTCAGCATTCTTGTGATAACTCTCGAAATTAGTGTTTTTACCGGTGCCGCGAATGCACGAATGCCTTCTGCTGAAAACTTCCCCGTTTGTCCTGTGACAAAGCCTTCATTGTCAATCCACGAGTTGCACTGTGCGAGTGCTAAAGCTGGCTACATTTGAGTTCCAAATTTGAATCCATCCTCATGGCACCCGGAACCTCATTCTTCTTGTCACAAAAGGCGTCTTTCAGACTGACAGCAGAGGGTGTGCTTCCTCCACACATATAAGTACTCGCTGCACGTCTCTTTGATAACTACTACTACGGTACTTCAGTCTGTGATATTATCACTTTTTGAACGTGAGAGAATCGACTACGAATGTTGTTTTCTCGGGAATTAAATTATTCTTCAACAGTGAACAAGTTACATCGAAAACTTATTGATGCCACCATTCATAGAGAATTGGCACTTGAAACAGAGATTCCTCAACCTCAGCTCTCATAGTTAGGCAGCAGGGCAGAAGTGTATAGCTAAAAGAGCGGTCCTATGTGTCATCGACTTGAATATATTGATTTGAACTGAATTGAAATACATAATACATCGACTCCGTTTCAGATTTGGCAAGAAAATCGGTTCCATTGAGGACAACCGGGTTCTGTACCCTAAACTTCTTGTGGAATGGGAGAGAGTGGTAAAGCCGAGTGGTCGTCTCGTTGTAATGACTCACGACAAAAGGAGCTGGGGTAAGGTCATAATGTTTTTCAAGAAAGCTTTAAACTGAAGACTTTGTCGAGCTCAGTTGTAAAGGAACGAGTATTGGACCTAACTGTTCATATCTGTGGATCGCAGTACAAATCGGTATTGTTTATATCGTTACAATAGTTCTGAACGGCGTCAGGAGTGCAAGAGCTCTCTTCATTCGACTGACTACGATTTCTGTTAGTAGTCACCGGTTAGCAATCGATTCATGAAGAGAACAAGCATGGTAGGCAGCGTAAGGGCTCCTACATGTCTTCTAACACTGCCCCAACTACTATCAACTCTATTAGGGGCTTAAAGCACGCTAGTTTGGTACTCGCTCAAAATGACAAGGGGCCACATGGTGGAAAAATGACGAAGAATCGAAGCTAAACTGCCAAACAACCTTCAA